AACGTGGATGAAACTGGGTGAGACTCTATCCTCTCTTTATAACTTTAAGACTTTTTCCTGGAAAAAACTGCCCAAAGCAAAGAATCCTCCTTGATGAGAGAGAGAAAGGGAATTTCCGCCCCATTCCCTCAGGAAAAAAAAAGCGGTAAACTAACTGCTTGGGGGAAAATGGAGAAAATTATACGATTAATTTGGAATCAATATAGATATATAACCTTGAAATTCGGGGACTAAAAATACTTTTGAGACTTTTTTAGAAAAGAGACTTGAAAATCTTGCAATATAAGTTTGAAGCTGGAAGAAGGTGTTAACAACATCTAGTGGTGAGCCACGGCACTACAATCTATTATGCTTAAAGGAAATTTGGCCTGACTCTGAAGACTGCAGCTGGAGAAGGAAAAAAAAACCCACTTGGGCTGCTTATCTGCGTGGCAAAGACGATAAACTATTTTGAAATTGGCCTGCTTGGATTATGAATATAAATGCTAGCTGACTTTTAGAGCTGTGTCGTGGAACTATTCCCCTGTAGAAGAAACAGGCATGACTGATCGAGATGATGGAACACTTTGGATTATAAACTTTTGATTGATGAATAACTTTTAATTGTTTCTTTTCTCACTGGACAGAAAGAATAAGTTTTCCATTGGACAGAAAAACCTGGACTTTGCTTATATTTGTTTAAGGGAGGCCTAAGGATGGACTGACAGGCTGGCTGGATAATTTGGAGTTCAAATGACAATTGACTGAAACTTTTTAAATCTCAAAATAGATTGGACTATAAAGACCACATACAAAAACAAAATGGATGTTCCACACTTAGTCTTAAATGGTAAAAAACCATCTCTAACATTTGTCTCCAAAAACCCCAGCTTCACATACCAACAAGAAAATGTTGATGAATCTCAGAAAGAAATTCTTGCTATGTTGAAATCAATACAAAAGACAATTGTCTTAGCTCATGATGAGACTAAAAATAACGCAAAGGAGATAAAAGAACAACTTTCTAATCTAAACTTACAAATTCAGAAAATGACTACAAAGGAACCAGTAACCCACAAAATAGAAGGAAAATTAGAGGAAGCAGATCCAAAGATGGAGGACCTAACAGAAGGAATTAACAGACAGACTCAGACAAATGAAGAATTAGAAGATGCAGCGATAATACTGGAAATGGAAAAGATATCTTACTTGTCAAAATATCAGAACACATTTGAGGATAAGGAAGAAGAGCTGATTGAACAGAAGATAAAGCTGTCAGGAGAAATGTGGAAAATTGGAGAAGGAGGGAGGCTGTTTAATGAATATAAATGGGCTGAGTGTTCTTCCAAAAATATTTTAATCATATTGTCTTTCTTAGTTCAAACAATATACACAAAAATAGGGGAAGAACTACTTGAGGACTCAGTGCATTGACTTGGAAAGTTAGTTGGCAAAGGAAAAAATCCAGAGTAAGACTGAAGAAAATAGAGGTTTTGATCCATTAGATGGGAGATTATATTATTAAATAGATGTCTGAACATACCTAAGAGAATAGATAATTGTTAGAAATAAAAGTATTACTATAACTAGAAAGATAGAATATGCAACTAGAATACTATATTTTGGTATGAGAAGGGAAATATGAAAATGTCAAGAGGGTCTGAATAAGGGAAACTTTTGGTTACCCAAATATAATTTACTATGAGAAAATTATAAGCGATAGAGACGGGATATTATATTATTAAACAGATGTTTGAATATGATTAAGAAAATAGATAACTTAGAAATAAAAGTATTATTATAACTAGAAGGATAGGATTTCTAACCAGAATATTATATTTTGTTATAAGATGGGAAATATGAAAATTCTAAAAGGGTTTGGATAAGGGAAGTTTTTGGTTACCCAAATATAATATATTATGAGAAAATTATAAGTGATAGAGATATTTTGAACATTGATGGAAAATTAAAAAAAAATTAAAATGGGAAAAACAGGATACTGATGGAACGAATGGATTTTAAGTGCAAATGCAATTGAGATATGTTTTGGCTAGAAAAGATATTATAAACTGACATTATTGATATGATATATAACAGGGCTTTTCAACCTTTTCACCCATTGTACCACTTTTAGGATATGGCAACATCCGAGTACCACCAGTCGCCTAGCAAGGTGCCAAAAACTTGATGACCAAAAAAAAAAAAAAAGGAAAAAAGTGATAAAGTACAGGTAGTCCTCGACTTACACAGTTCGCTTAGTGACTGTTCGAAGTTACAATGGCACTGAAAAAAGTGCCCTCCAAGCCACAGCTGAGCAAGACAGTGCCCGGCGGCGCTCTTCCTCCTGTCCGAGGTTTTCATTGTTGTGAGCATTTCTGTTGAGGATTGGCAGTGGGGGTGGGGTGGGGTGATGTTTGGTTTTTATTCCCCCCATCTGCTGGGTGGTTGCAGCAGGTTTTGGTCACTTCACATGACCCTGGGACACTGTGACCATCATAAATATGAATCAGTTACCAAGCATCTGAATGTAAATCACAAGACCCTGGAGATGCTGCAACATTGCAGCTGATCGGCGCTTCTTCTGGGCTCAGCAGAAGCGCCAGGATCAGTGCTGATTTCCAGCTGATTGGTGCTTCTTCAGGGCTCAGCAGAAGCACCAGGATCAGCGCCGAGCTCCAGCTGGAGCCTGGCGCTGATCCTGGTGCTTCCGCTGAGCCCTGACAGCCCTGCAGCTCCAGCTATCTCTCGCTCAGGCTTGTGCGGTGCTCTCACCGGTTCAGCTCATTCCCCTCCCCCACTACTTTTCTAGGATGGTCGCATACCACCTGCCAGGTGGCCATGTACCACAGGTGGTACCCGTACCACTGGTTGAAAAGCCCTGATATATAATACCAGAAAAATGCGATGAAGCTGTCTATATTTAATTGTACATGTATTAACAGTAACAAGAATTGTATTTGCCCAGTGTGGAAAAATGCATACAACCGGAAGAAGAGAGGATCAAAGAAGCACTGGATAGTGTAATATTGGAACTAGAGTGAGAAAGTTAATATGTACCACTGAATTACCAATGGACCCAGACAACATGTTGTTTATTAAGTATTTATGATTGTAAAATTAGAAAATTAATAAAATGTTTAGAAAAAAAGATGTGATGGACATTTTTATGGCTATATTTTGGATGATGGGGGAGTGGCAATAAAAATATATCTGAAAGACACTAGTTGGGGAAGGTGGTTTTAAAAAATCTGACTCTTTTTGCAATTAGTTTTGTATCCCAAGAATCAGTACATATTTTGTATATTTATTGAAACAAATAGAGGTATGCTGTGTTTATGAAGACTGCTAGTACTATATACTTACTAGAAGATGTATTTGTTCCTTCAGTAGAGGCAGAAATCCTGTCTATGAGTTCTGCAATACACAGAAAGCAACATGGTAATAGAGATGGAAAAATCCTATCCATTTGAAGTGGAATTTAAAATTTGTCTTCCTAGGAAGGTCAAATTCTTCGAGGAAAATGGTTGAAAAAGCAGCTTTGAATAGCAGGGAACTACAAAGAAATTACATGTGGTCCCAATCACACCAGGAATAATTTATCAAAGCAAAAATTAATCTTAAAAGTATTCCTGGAGAAAACTAGTAGAATTAAGGAAAATACTTGTAACCATTTGTAAGATTATGATAGGATATCACTGTCCTGAACTGAAGGACCACTTTATTATTACATTGATAGAAAGTACTAGAAATAAATTTAGTTTCCGACTAGATTATTTATCATGGATCAGATAAGAAAATTCAGATGTTTTGATGACTTAACATCTGCAAAGAATACATGATCAGCACTGTTTTGGAAAAATCTGTACTAGGAGCAAAATACTAAAAAATAGAAGAAATTTAACATTGCGTGTAATGTCAATAAACTTTAAATAATTAGAAACTATGAGTATCCAAAGCTTTGATTCAAAAGTGATTCCCTGAAATCACATTTTCAGATTGAACTGCATATCTGAAATGGATCTTGGTTGATACACAGACATTTCTTTTGTAGTGATAATTCAAAACTATGTAGAAAAATCTGAATGGATAAAATTAACTTGACAAGTTGACAAACTCCAGATTTGATAACCAGCTGAAGAAAAGAGAAATAAAGACAAGAGTGACTGAATTTTCAGTCTTCTATGGGAGACTGAGCCACAGGAAAAGCAAGACAGAAGATGTCCTTTATGAAATGCAAAAACTAGTCACATGCCAAAACCCAGTAACGTTTCAAAACATGCATTCAGAAGGCCACGTGCTCTGCTCTGGTTTTGGAATGCTACCACTCCAGAACTAGCAGTGTTAAAGACAAAAGAATCTCAGAAAAACTGAAGGGATGCAACATTCATTATTCTGCTGTGCCACAAAAGTGACAGATGAACAGAACAAGCAGCAGCATGCAAAATATGAGCATATAAGGTAGCTGTCAGGGAGTGGAAACTGTCTTTCAGACATTGTGAAGATTATGTTTTGAACATTCCAAATGTAGGTAGCCCCGCTGTAAATAACGTAAGCAATTTCTGTGAAAAGGAAGCTTAAAAAAGGCAAATACAATCCAAGGTGTGGAACAGAGGCAATATAAGCTACACAAGGAAAAGATCTAAATCTAATAGCAGCTCTTTTTAAACACTGTTATTTTATTAGAGGACACATGCAAACACTAGAGGAAATGAGAGGCATTAACATCTCATGCCAAAAAAGAAAGTATCTTGTCAAGGAAAACAAAGAAAAGATGAATACTTAGCAAGTTGCAACTTGTAACTGGCTGCTACAACATATAATTTAGGGACATCTTTAGAGATGAGAAAGACTCTAAATTCCAGTTGAGATCTAAATCAACTCATAAATATAGATCCTGGATCTATTTTTTCTATGATATGTCAAAACTCTATCCAAAGTATAAAGATGCAGAGAAAGGCTAGGGAAAAAACCTGAATCTGTAGAATTAACATTAGGGAGGCAAGCTATTCAACTTGACTTACGTGAGGATGAATTTACTCCTTTTGTCAAAACTGGTATCATGCCCGTGGGTTCTGAAAAAAACAAAAGCAGGAATCAGAAGCAGCGACACATGTCAGTGAACTGCCATGTGTATAAGATGGTGGTTTGATGAAATTACAGGAAAACAAGAAAAAATAGGTTACAAGTTTTAATATAATTGAAATTTATTACTATTGATCTCATATATAGCAATGTTATTCTCAATTATTGGTAATTTTTTATTATTTGTAAATAGCAAAAGTTTGAAAGATGATATAAGAAGTGAAGAAGTAGTTCTCTTGGGTCACATAGGGCATAGGCTAAGATCTAGATTTCTATGAATCTCTGATTCAGTATGTGGAGCAAAGTATATATATTTTATCTATTACATCCCATGAATCGCATAACTGAAAAAAACAATTTAGGTAATGACAGCAGATTTAAGTAATATTTTCTAGTGAAAAATAGCGCTTGAAAAAGTAACTTTAATATCTGATTTCAGAGACTTCTTTCCTCCTCATGTGGAACACACGTAGAGCTTCAGTTGACTTAAGAATTATCCATATGTAGATAGCTGGGTGTCTTGATGTATAACCGACATGTCTCTAAGGATATTATAGTGTCACACATCAATAAGAAACAAGAATATAGCAGACAAATGAAATAAGAATGGAAGGACAATTTAAGTAGTTACAGAAACTGATAATGGGAAAGTTCTGTTGGTTCCATTATTATTAAGCTACAGAATATTGTCAGATTGGCCTTCTGCTATTTAAGGTTGGTATAAAGCCCTTGGTGAAGCTACCAAGTAATTTCTAACCATGCTTTATTACTCTTTCTCAGGTTTAGATGGTCCTATATAAATTCTGGATCTGTCAGGCCCAAAAGCCAAAAAAGACTGATACTTGAAAGTTAATGATTCTTCCAAGTTGATTTTATATATATATATATTTCCACACCTATAGGCAGAATCTTGCCAAACTGAAGCACTCTCCTTATGTATCTAGCATATTGTCAGAAAACCTATTATCCTTCATCCTCTTTCTCTCACACAAGATATGGGGATTGACTGTCTCTTTTTCCTCTAGAATGCACCCTCTCCCTCCTGGGAATCCAGCCTACTATATTCAATCGAGGACCAGAGTCTGCAGGATGAGGGCTAGTAAGTTCAATCAGAATCCCAACAAAATGGAGCTCTGAGGATGGTGTGCTGGAGTAGATATTAGTCCGGGAGTAGATAATAGCTTGAGACTAGTCAATGATACATCTTCAATGGATACTCAAAATAGCCTTAATGGCCTGGAATGCTTTTAATCAGTTTGGACTAAACCATCAGCAAACCTGAGACAGTAACTCATTCTCATGCCCACTATTGCCATGCGGTTCTACATGAGGAACATCCTTTAAGGATGACATGAGATTGTCACTGGTATAGAATATTGCTATTTCAGTTTGAGGAACACAATTTAGAAACCATCTTTCAAGAGTTTTAAAGGAAAAATACTCTTTATTGCAACCTTACATCTCTTCTTACCAGAATATCATTACTCTTAGCTGCTTAAGTGATTATCCTTTTTAATCACAATTTAAGGAAAATCTCTCAGTAGAGTTACAATCTCATAATTAAATTGAAGCACTATCTGCTTTGCTTCTTAAAGAAGCAATCTTTTTACTAAATAGTAAATGAAGCAGAGATTTCATTATTCTTTTTCAAAACTCATAAACACAACAAAAAAACTGATATTTTATCATCATTCAATCCAAACTGATAGGATAGTCTTGCTTTTAGAGGAAGACAAGAAATTAGGATTTCAAAATTCTTCAAACCATAATTGTTGACAAGCAGTTCTACAGACCTTGTTTTTTTATTTTTAACTTAAAACCAGACCAGACTAGGATTACTTGAGGATTTTATTTGGTCTACTTGTTAAAGATAAGTTTATACCTTCTCAAAAGTATGGAGTGAAATATACATGCATCTCCTTCCTATATCATCCAGTTCTGACTATTTCTTTAAAATATTTGAAATATTTAATTGCATCAATGTATAAATAAGCACCAAAATTTTGCAATAAATGAACATTAAATATTATTCATACAACTAGATCTGCATAAGATCTTTAGATATTTTATGGAGAATTAATATATAAATACAAAAATACACAAGATAAAAATTATAAGCAAGAAAAAAAGTGATCTATATATCTCAGCCTTTCCAATATATGTTGCATTCTGGGAATGGAAAGTTTTTCAAAAATAGGATTCATAAGCATTATAGGAAAAGCAACATAGCAAAACTGAGGACTTTGTTTTGTTTGATCTGGCAGCATAGTAAGAATGCCTTCCCCCAGTTTTTGTAAAGATCTCCTCTGGGATACTTTGAAGAAGAGGTCTATTGTGGATGGAAAAGGATGGGAGATGAAAACTAATAAGGCCCCCAACATATAATTTATTATCCATCACTAAAAAGGAAGAAATCATACAAACATTTGTTATGAGCTAATATGAAGATCCATGTAGGTACAAAGGCAGAATATTACTACTTTAATCAATCAAAGGTGTGTTTCTTATAGGATTATTTTAAGTTTTAGTGGACTCACAGCTGTAAAATCCAAAATTTATGCATTTTTTTTAGGAATAGCCAAAATGTCACAAAACGGTGGGTAAGCTTCTGAGACATTCAACATTCTTCATTAGGGAATTTGTTATCTTCCCCTCCCCAAAAACAGCCAGGACACATCTAGAATATTGTATTAATATCACTAAAGTGTTCCAAGCTCTGAGATAGGCAGAATATCACACTGTAGTTCATTATAGCTGGGGGGGGGGGGGGAATAAGCTTTTGGCATCATCCAGGAAAATGGGAATGAGATAAACAGAAAACAGGAAGAAATTACTTAAAGTGCGCTGCCTGTTTTATTGCTTTCCAAAAGGCAAATGGCAGATGGTAGTAACATTTCTGGAAGGAACTAGAGTTGCCATCTAAACATTTGCCAAGCTTTAGAAAATATGGAGTCATACCACCCTATTTAATCTCTTTATTAAGAGTAATGACATGTATCTAAGAAAACCAATGCTTCAATATTTCAATAAAAATCGATATACCTCTCTGAAAATAAGAGATATTCCTTCATATTTCTTCTTCTCCTCCAGGTAAAATGGTAAGTAGAAGGAATGTATATACATATATTTGTCCAGAAAAAGATGAAAACATAAACATAAATATTCTGAAAGAGTTAATCATTGCCTGAAAGTTAAGTATAATTCATGGAGGCCATAGATGTAATCGGTCAAGAGGGATAAAAAAGAAAAAAGTTCTTTGTTCATACTGGAGACTGAGAAGTTTGGCTCCTGAAAACATAACAGCTCCCGTCTGTTTAAATCCTTAAGTAGCGGATGGTTTCTGTTATTTGCTGCTTATGAATTCTAATGCGTTTGTCAATTTCAAATGACAATTAGCAGCCAAACAAGCTGTCAAACCATTTAAAAACAAAAATATGTGAAGAAAACAACTTGAAAAATTACAATATAATTTACCCTAGTGAGATAACAACAATTCAGGCATCTGTTATGTAATGGATTTCTATAGGGGTTCTTCTTAGGCATTGAAATAAAGTTTATGTGTGGCATCAGGTGTGATAGAAATCATGACATTATTTCCATTGCTTTCCTGTCAGTATATTTTTCTCCCAAGCACTTTGGGAGAGACTAACAATGCTCTTTCCAAGTGTATGCCCATTGACACAAATTCAAGATCGCACTTCTGAAGTCTTAATATTGGAAGAAAGAAAGAAGCATTCCA